TTTAGCATCGTCTGCCCTTCTCTTTTGGAGAGAAAACTTGGTCATCTCAAGGCCTGAGACCCTGACCTTTCCAAGCATCCCCACTACCAAAGGCTGCCCAAACCCGGAAAGATCCCACCCTGTTCTGTACTCCCGGGTCACTTCCTCACTCCATCGAGTTTAAGGACTGTGGGCTAATTAAAAGTGCCTCCCTATTAGCCGGGCGTGGTGGCACATGCCTGTAATCCCAGCTACTTAGGAGTCTGAGGCAAGAGAATCTCTTCAACGCGGGAGGTGGAGATTGCAGTAAAAAGGAGTGCTCCGCGGGGAGACTGTAATGCCCCTCGGGCAGTGACCCTTATTTTCTTCCCCTCTCCCGTATGATTGGTTGTACCGGGCTGAACAAAAAGGTTAAGCTTCACTTGTGTTTGTTGAAAAGAATTCCCATGCCCACTCCATGTTAGCTCCCCTCACTGTAGGACTAGCTCTGGAAATTCCAGCACCTGCAGGAAGCCAACCCAGATGGATCTCAAGAACCAAGAACAGCTGTAGCTACTCTTCTAAATCTCAGTGCCTGACATTGCCTCTCTTTCTGCCTCCTCTCCCCACCCCCCAAAAAATGATACTCCTTGACCTGAAGGAGCTTCCATCCAAGTCTGTGAGTGCTCATCATTCCTGAAGAATCAAAGTATCATCTTCATCATCCCTTGGCTTGCAAGATGAACTCCAACATCAAAACACTTGAAACAGTAGTATTTTTACAGTTTACCCACTGTCTTTATATCTCACTTAGTCCTTCCAGTAACATTTGGATGATGAGGCAGCTTATCCAGAAGCACAAAGCCTAAAGAATGACAGAGCCTGGACTGCTAAGAAATTCAGCTACTGCCAACCTTATGATAACCAAAAGAAGGCACACCAGAAGTTGGAAAGCAGCCTGGAAAACGGAGAGAAACCCCCACTTCTACAAAAAAATTTAAAAATTAGTCCAGGCGCAGTGGCTCACACCTGTGATCCCAGCACTTTGGAAGGCTGAAGAGGGCGGATCACTGGAAGTCAGGAGTTCGAGACTAGCCTGACCAACATGGTGAAACCCTGTCTCTACTAAAAATACAAAAATTAGCTGGGTGTGGTGGCACACACCTGTAATCCCAGTTACTCCGGAGGCTGAGGCAGGAGAATAGATTGAACTCGGGAGTCAGAGGTTGCAGTGAGCCACGATTGCACCACTGCACTCAGCCTGGACAACAAAGTGAGACTCAATCTCAAAAAATAATAATAAATTTAAAATTTAAAAATTAGCTGGGTATGGTGGTGCACATCTGTGGTTCCAGCTACTGGGGAGACTGAGGCAGGAGGCTCCCATGAACCCAAGAGGTTGAGGTCACAGTGAACCATGAGCATTCCAGCCTGTGTGACAGAGTGAGACTGTCAAAAAAAAAAAAAGCATAGATTCAGTGAAACTCCAATAAATTACTGAAAGGTTTTTTTCTCTCAAGTACATATGAGTCTTCACTCTCTAGTATACTTGTGAACTGGCTGCAAGTCTGTGGCTCTTATTAAAATAATCTAAAACAATCCCATCTTTAAAAATAAATAAAGCCGGGCACGGTGACTCACGCCTGTAATCCTGGCACTTTGGGAGGCTGAGGTGGGTGGATCACCTGAGGTCAGGAGTTCAAGACCAGCCTGGCCATCATGGTGAAACCCCATCTTTAAATAAATAAATAAATAATCTAAAATAACAGGTAAACTACATACTAAGGGCAGCTAGGCAGGATGTTTATAATCCTAAATCAAAAATGCAAATGCCGCCAAGGTGTGGTGGCTCATGCGTATAATCCCAACACTCTGGGATGCTGAGGTGGGTGGATCACTTGAAGTCATCAGTTCAAGACCAGCCTGGCCAACATGATGAAATCCCATCTCTACTAAAAATATAAAAGTTAGCCAGGCATAGTGGCGGGCACCTGTAATCCTAATTAGTCGGGAGGCTGAGGCAGGAAAATTACTTGAACCCAGGAGGCAGAGGGTGCAGTGAGCCAAGATGGCACCACTGCACTCCAGCCTGAGTGACAGAGCCAGACTCCCTCTAGAAAAAAAAAACCCGCAAAGAGGCTGGGTCTGCTGACTCATGCCTGTAATCCCAGCACTTTGGGATGCCAAGGCAAGAGGATCACTTCAGGCCAGAAGTTCAAGATCAGCAACATAGCAAGACTCCATCTCTACAAAAAAAAAAATTTAATATTAGCCAGGTGTACAGCAGGGTGCAGTGGCTCACATCTGTAATACCAGCACTTGGGGAGGCCGAGGTGGGCAAATCACGAGGTCAAGAGATCGAGGCCATCCCGGCTAACATGGTGAAACCCCATCTCTACTAAAAAATACAAAATTTAGCTGGGCGTGGTGGTGCGTGCCTGTAATCCCAGCTACTCGGGAAGCTGAGGCAGGAGAATCACTTGAACCTGGGAGGCAGAGGTTGCAATGAGCTGGGATCACACCACTGCACTCCAGCCTGGCAACAAAGACTCTATCTCAAAAATATATATATATATTAGCCAGGTGTGGTGGTGTGCACCTGTAATCCTAGTTAGGAGGCTGAGCCTAGAAGTTTGAGGGTACAGTGAGCTATGATCTCACCTTTACACTCCAGTTGAGCTATAGAACAAGACCATCTCCAAGAAAATTGAGTTGAGCAAATCAGACAAGAAAATACATAGTATATAATTCTATTTATGTTAAGTTCCACATTAAAAGAAGCTGTGGGGAGGTAGGATGATGCTTACTTTTGGGAAAGGGGGAGAGAAAATGAAGACAGCCGAGTGCAGTGGCTCATGTCTGTAATCCCAGCACTTTGGGAGGCTGAGGCAGGCAGATCACTTGAGGCCAGGAGTTCAAAACCAGCCTGGACAACATGGAGAAACCTCATCACTAAAAAAAAAAAAAGAATGAAAATGAAGATGACCAGATAGTCTTCTAAAAAGCTAGTGATATTCTGTTTCTTTGATCTGGGTTGAGGTTACATGTGTGTGTTCACTTTGTAATACGTTATCAAGATGTTTTGGGCACTTTTCTGGGTATTCTTTTTTTTAAGATGGCGTTTCACGATGATGGCCAGGCTGGTCTTGAACTCCTGACCTCAGGTGATCCACTCACCTCAGCCTCCCAAAGTGCTAGGATTACAGGCGTGAGCCACTGCGCCCGGTTTTTTCTGGGCATTATACTTAAAACTTTTTTTTTTTTCGAGACGGAGTCTTGCTCTGTCACCCAGGCTGGAGTGCAGCAGCGCAATCTCGGCTCACTGCAAGGACCTCTGCCTCCCAGGTTCAAACATTTCTGCCTAAGCCTCCCAAATAGCTGGGATTACAGGTGCCTGCCCCACACCCAGCTAATTTTTATATTTTTAGTAGAGACGGGGTTTCACTGTGTTGGCCAGGCTGGTCTCAAATTCCTGACCTTGTGAACTACCTGCCTCGGCCCCCCCAAAGTACTGGGATTACAGGTGTGAGCCACCTTGCCTGGCCAAACATTTATTTTTTTAAAAATTGAAAAATTGCTTTGGAGCAAAGTAAGATAAACCCATGATTAGGCTTAGATTTTTTTTTCTTTCCAAAAAGTAAAATGAACATAAGAGGCATTTTTTCTCTGTGGTTTGTTTTGTTTTTGTTGTTGTTTTTTTTTTGAGATGGAGTCTCTTACTCTATCCCCCAGGCTGGAGTATAGTGATGTGATCTCAGCTCGCTGCAACCTCTGCCTCCCAGGTTCAAGCTATTCTCCTGCCTCAGCCTCCCAAGTAGCTGGGACTACAGGCACATACCACCAAGCCTGGCTAATTTTTGTATTTTTAGTAGAGATGGGGATTTCATCATGTTGGCCAGGCTGGTCTTGAACTCCTGACCTCAGGTGATCCGCCCACCTCAGCCTGTCAAAGTGCTGGGATTACAGGTATGAGCCACCTCACCCAGCCTCTCTGTGGTTATTGTAGTGAGAACTTAATAAGTTCTTTTTTTTGAGACGGAGTTTCGCTCTTGTAACCCAGGCTGGAGTGCAATGGCGTGATCTCGGCTCACCGCAACCTCCGCCTCCTGGGTTCAGGCAATTCTCCTGCCTCAGCCTCCTGAGTAGCTGGGATTACAGGCACGCACCACCATGCCCAGCTAATTTTTCTATTTTTAGTAGAGACGGGGTTTCACCATGTTGACCAGGATGGTCTTGATCTCTTGACCTCGTGATCCACCTGCCTCGGCCTCCCAAAGTGCTGGGATTACAGGCATGAGCCACCACGCCCAGCTTAATAAGTTCTTTTTTTTGAGACGGAGTTTCGCTCTTGTTACCCAGGCTGGAGTGCAATGGCGCGATCTCGGCTCACCGCAACCTCCGCCTCCTGGGTTCAGGCAATTCTCCTGCCTCAGCCTCCTGAGTAGCTGGGATTACAGGCATGCACCACCATGCCCAGCTAATTTTTTGTATTTTTAGTAGAGACGGGGTTTCACCATGTTGACCAGGATGGTCTTGATCTGTTGACCTCGTGATCCACCTGCCTCGGCCTCCCAAAGTGCTGGGATTACAGGCATGAGCCACCACGCCCAGCTTAATAAGTTCTTTATCACTCCTTGGTTACGTACCCCTAGAGAGAAGCCAACTTTCTGTTTGTATACACCAGAGTAAGTGCAAAAGATACAATAAGCATAGAGCTTCAGAGAAACTAGCCAAATTCTAAAGGAATGACTTACAAATTGAGAGCCATTTCAATGACAGAACATCATACAAAATACTCATCTACCATATGAGAGGCCTATTGATAGGTAAAAACACCAAAACTTTAAACAGTAATAAATAAAATATGTATTCACATGTTAGACCGTAGGGCTACTGGGAAAAAAAAATATATGTATTATCTCAGAATTGATTAGCTGGGTGGTTCTGGCTCAGAATCTTTGAAGAGGTTGCAGTCATCTGAAAGTGTAGTGGGCTGGAGTATCCACTTCCAAGGTGGCTTATTCACATGGCTGGCAAGTTGGTGCTGGCTGTCGGCAGGAGGCCTCAGCTTACAATGTGGGTCTTCATAGGACTATATGAGTGTCCTTTCAGCATGGCAGCAGGCTTTCCCTAGAGCTAATGATGGATGAGAAAACAAGGCAGAAATTGCAATGTCTTTTATGACCTTAAAAGACCTTGATGGTTATACTCCATCATTTATGCAATATCCCATTATCACACAGGTCAACCCTATTCAGTGTGGGTTGGTACTACACAAGGACATGAATATCAGGAGGAAGAGAATCTCTGGAGGCCATCTTGGAACCCATAGTCTGCCCTCTGGCCCCTAATGATTCACATCTTCATCTGTTTCTGCTCTCTAAGAACCAGGGGCAGACTCCCATTGAGTTTTCTTGCAGCTAAAGTAGAGATTATTGGGAGTAAAAAGTAAGTTTTCATCACAAAGCCTGGGTGCAGTGGCTCATGCCTGTAATCCCAGCACTTTGGGAGGCTGAAGCAGGCAGATCACCTGAGGTCAGGAGTTTGAGACAACCCTGGCCGACACAGTGAAACTCCGTCTTCACTAAAAATACAAAAGCTGGCTGGGTGTGGTGGCAGGTGCCTGTAATCCCAGCTACTTGGGAGCCTTAGGCAGGAGAATCACTTGAACCCAGAGGTGGAGGTTGCAGTGAGCGAAGATCACCCCACTAAACTTCAGCCTGGGTGACAGAGCAAGACTCCATCTCAACAAAATAGATAGACCGCTAGCCAGACTAATAAAGAAGAAAAGACAGAAGAAAAAAAAAAAAAAAAAAAAAAAGGGATATCACAAGATTGTCAGGCACAGAGGCTTAAAGACCAAGTACTTTCTCTCGTCATTGTGCTTCATCAGTGCCAGGGACATGAATGGTGTAGATCAGGCCTGTTTCAAACAAAAGGCCTTTTTTCTAGAGTGTAATGATTTGAGGACTTGGGAAGACCTTACCTATTTGTCTCTCTCAAAGGACAAAGGTATGAGGTGCGGGGGAGGGGGGCAGAGGAAGGACAAAGCTATGAAGAACATGAAGTTCTTAAGCCCCTT